CGGCTCCATCCACTACCACCACATCCATGCCAAATTTTCCAGCCACAAATTGCAATGCTATCATCTTTATGGTCATATTGTTCCTGTTGTTACTGCCATGGGATGTACTCCTTCCCCTTGGAAACAGCTATAGGGCACTTACCAGAGCCAGATGTCATGTATTTAATGGACACTTCACGGAGAATATTCACTCACACTATCGCTACGGGATAATGTTTTGACTCTTCAAGGGGGGCTCCTTGGCGTGCGTATGAAGAGGCTCTTGGTCTGAGAATTAGAACCTGTCGGTCTACTTCCTCAGAACCGAGCCTACTTGACCCCCAATCCCCCCGTTCCCTATTCCCATTACTACCTTTTTCCTTTCCTCCTACTCCTCCCCACCCCTCCTTTTGCCCTTCCTTTTTGGCCTTTGTTTTTTTTCTTTTTTTTGCCCAGGCTCGATAGTTTCCTTGGTAGGGGAAAGGGTACTGGGGTCCATCCCATTACCGTTGTCGGTTCTTGGCGGTGGCTTAGTTTTGCCGTGGAATCTGGATTGCTGGGGATTCATGATCCCTCTCCGGTATCCCGGGAGGGTGGCTTTGGGTGTCTCTCGGGCGACGGGTGTATCTGGAATACATTTCAAGAACTGAAGGCAACACTCTCAGCTTGCCGATCATCGGCAGCTGGGCCCGACAACATTCATATTCGTATGCTACAACTTTTTACATCAGTCAGCCCTTGCAGTCCTATTACGCCTTTACAATCTTATTTGGTCACAAGGATTCTTCCACAGCTGTGGAAATCCGCCATTGTTTTCCCTCTCTGCAAACCGGGCACTACGGGACATGAAACCTCCCACTATCGTCCCATTGCTCTTACCAGTGCAGTTTGCAAAGTGATGGAACGCCTAGTAAATAGACGTTTAGTGTGGTATTTAGAGACACACAACAGTCTCTCCACTCGTCAATATGGCTTTCGTAAGGGACGTTCTACCATAGACCCCTTACTAACGCTTGGATACGTATGTTCGTAATGCCTTTGCGAATAACCACTCAGTTATTGCCATATTTTTTGACCCTGAAAGGCATATGACACAACTTGGAGGTATAATATTTTAGCCCAAGCCCACTCCTTAGGCCTTCGAGGCAATCTACCATCCTTCCCTAAGAATTTTTTAACTGACAGGCAATTTCCATGTTCGGTTAATAATGTGCTCTCCCCGGACTTTATCCAAGCTAAGGTGTCCCCCGGGGATGTTTTTTCTGAGCACAACACTTTTTCTCCTTGTTATTAATGATTTGGCCTCTAGTCTTCCATCAAATATATTTGGTCATCACTCTATGTTGTTGACTTCGCTATTGCTGTGCAGGGCGCTGACTGTCACCTTATTACAGTTTCTCTCCAGCATGCAGTCGACTGTGTTTCCAATTGGGCCACCACACGTGGGTTTTAAATTTCCAGCACTAAAACCCCCAATTACTTTCACTAGACGCTCTGTCATCTCCGATCATCCTTTGTACCTCTATGGCTTCCGTATCCCTGAACGTGATGCAGTCAAGTTTCTGGGCCTCCTCTTTTGATCATAGGTTATCCTGGAAACCTCACATTACCTCTCTGAAGGCAACTTGTCACAGCCAGCTGAACTTCTTAAAACACTTGCTCATCTTTCATGGGGAGCTGATCGTCGAACCCTCCTTTCGCCTACATTCCACCCTTATCTTATCGAAACTTGATTATGGTAAACCAATCTATTCGGGCGGCATCTCCTGCTACTCTTCTACCCTTTAAAACCCCATTCATCACCAAGGATTCGTTTATGCCTTGGTGCTTTTCGTTTTTCCCCCTGTCGAGAGCCTCTATGCAGAAGTGAACATTCCCCATCCTTTTTCCCGATCACCGTGATGCCCATTGCCTTCGCTACTATGTACGCTCTCATGATCTCCGCAATCCTCCCATTTATAGAATGGTCACTGATATTAGAAAGACATTCTTTATTTGTTCGCCGCCCCTGTTTACTCCGTCCCTTCTCTCTTCGCCTTCATTTCGCTCTTGTCTTCTTTTCAATTACCACCTTTCTATGTACATGTAGCATCTCACTTTTCCCTAACCCCCCTGGGAAGTTCCAGCTGTTCGAGTCTGTTCTTTCTGTCTCCCTTGCTCGAAAGCCCAACTGTCTACGGTCCCTTCCCGCTCTCTTTTTCTTGACCACTTTCGCTCTCATTCTCTGGGCCCTTGCTGTGTACACAGATGGCTCTAAGTCTTCTACGGCGTAGGATTCGCAGCAGTGTTTCCGGACAGCGTCGTACAAGGGGATTTACTATCTTTGGCTAGTATTTTTACTGCTGAATTGTATGCTATCCTTACCCGCACTTATCTGTATTGCATCTATGCCTGTGTCATCATTTGTGGTTGTCTCAGACTCCCTTAGTGCTTTTCAGGCTATACAGAAATTTGATACACCTCACCCCTTTGTCCTCCGTATCCAACTTTGGCTACGCCGCATCTTTACCAAGCAAAAAGATATTGTTTTCTGTTGGGTCCCTGGTCAAAGTTGACGTACAGGGGAATGAACAGGCAGACACTGCTGCGCGGTCAGCAGTACATGACCTAACCAGTTTCATGTAGAGGTATTCCATTTACGGACTATTTTTGCTGCAATATCTTCCCAACTTCACACCCGTTGGCAACACCCTTGGTCTACTATGCTCGGGAACAAACTTCAGTCTATTAAACCGAGTATAGATTACTGGCCGTTTTCTTATCACCAGTGTCGAGGTTGAGAGACTACTCTCTCCCGTCTTCGCATTGGCCATACTCTCTTACTCAGGGGTATCTCATGGAAGGCGTCCTGCTCCTCTCTGGGGAGAATTGCCAAGTTCCATTATCAGTCAGCCACATTCTGTTGGACTGCCCACTTTATCAACGAGCACGCAGAATTTACCTCCGTCGTCGTCTTCGCTCTGCTGCTCTCTCTTTACCTTCCCTTCTCGCTGATGGACCCACCTTTCATCCAGACTCTCTCATTGACTTTTTGACAACAACTGACTTACTTCACAAATTCTGATACCTTCAGCCCTTTCTACTTCAATCTCTTGCTACCCTCTACCCCCATACTATCCCCTGCCCCGCTGTTTTCTGTAACCTACTGATCATCCCTCCTCCCTTCTGCCATCCAATACCCTCGCTTCCTTCCCTACCCTGCAGCGCTGTATAGCCCTTGTGGCTTAGCGCTTCTTTTTGATTATAATAATAATAATAATGGAAGTGTTTTCAAGAGCTTGTAGTTCATATTCACTATCACTATCATCACCAATGCTCACATCTGAGTCCGGGATATGGGAAAATAGGAGTTTCCTCTTTGGTTCTGGTACAACTGAACGTGAACAAGATGGCCCAGTAGCAGAGGTGGAAGGCTGAGGGTCGTCTAGGTTTTCCTCACTATTACCGGTATTATGGTCATTAGTTTCGGTCACAACTTCATCAAAACCTTGAAACTCGTCTTCACTGGCACTTCCATCTGTATTAGAAGTGTCACTGGGGAACAAGTGTGTCCCAATTCGCCGAGGAGTGAGGAGCTTCTTACCGTGAGGCACGGTGAACAAGGTCTGCTAAAATGGCATTCCCTCAATGCGCCACTGGGTCCCAGATTTTTTTTCTACCATGCACACCGACCACACACACACCCATTCTCTCACATCTAGGCCTACCAGCCTTTTCCCGCGAGATTTGAAGGCGCTAGAATTTATGCGTACTAATATGTCAATAACCTGGCGCGTAAGCCCTACTAGTACGTCGGAAACTCTGAAAAGGTTAATATATTTTTTTTTTTCAAAAAGTAGAAATTATGACTTTATATAATTTAAGAGGACTGAGAAGGGGTTGAGGTAATTTTGACATTTAGAGGGGATGGAGCAGAATATGATAGGTGTATAAATCTAGGGTGAAAGAAAGGAAAGGTATAAGACATCTCAGGAAGGATTGGAGGGAAAGGGTAAAGGTTTTGACTGCTAGGGCCTTGAGCATCCTGTAGGCTTGTGTGAGCATGTAGAGTTACAGTATAATAAGTTGTGATGTGTCTAGGTATGGTATCTTAATGAAAATTAAGATACCAGCCTAGTTCCTAGGCCTTTTGTTTAGCTGTAGGCTCTTACTGTTAGAGTGCAGGCATTGTACTTCCCACCTCTAGGACTGAAGTCCATCTAACCAGTGTTCCCTGAATCCCTTCATAGATATTACCTTGTTCAGAATCCAACAGCATGTCAAGCCATGGCTCCAATTTAGCATGCTCACACAAGCCTGTTGGATGCTAAGGGCCCCTAGCACTGAAAACCTTTAACCCCTTCATCCAACTCTTCTCAGGATAAGAAAAGTGCCAAATTCAAGTGGATCATTTAGCACTGCAAGACAGTGCAGTGCTAATGCTAGAGAACAAAGGCATAGCGAGCAAATACAAGGGCACAAGGCAGAACTCATAGTCGTTAAAGTAAATCAGTTTCAATTAAGAAGTCAGCAGGCATGTGTGAGTGTGTTAGATAGGAGTGAATGTTGACGAATGGTTTTTGGGACTTCACGAGCTGTTGTGTGAGAGCAGGATATATTTTGTGAATGGACTCAGGGAAACCACTTAGCCAGACTTCCATCCTGGAGGCAGGAAGTACAGTGCCTGCACTTTAAAGGAGGGTTTGGGATATTTGCTATTTTGGAGTGAAAGCTGAACTGTCGTATCTGCATGCTTCTACAAAGACAGTGATTACGTGTGAATGATGGTTAAAGTGCTTCTCTTTTGGGTCTCCCTGCCTCGGTGGAAGATGGCCGACAAGTTGGAAAAAAAAAAAAGTGAATTTGCATTACAGGTAAACTTTGAGAGGTGGTCAGCCTGTAAGCATGTCAAGGTTTTAACAAAGTTTTAAATGAAATCCATGAGCTCTCTGATGAATGAGACAAACAGTCCAAAGGTGTTCAACTATTCATAACATGAAAATTTTTTTAAGAGTGACACAGATCAGCTCTAAGAGACAAACCTGAGAGTGGTATGTCCAACATGCAGTTGTGAAGTATAGTTTCCCCTCTCAGTCTGTAGCAACAAAAGGAGGATGGCTAGAAGCCCAAGTAGTTGGCTGGTTGCTGACTCTGGCTAATGATTCTACCAGTGATCCTGCAGAAGATGAGGAAAGTTTTTAACAAACTTGCAGAATAGTCTGCAAGTTAATTCCCAGAGCACAATAATAGCCATGGACCCAGTGTAAGACAGCCTCTTTGTGTCTGCTTCAGAGGCTTTCATTACCATTATGAGTGGGTTTAGCACTTAGTTTTGAGTGTAATAATAATAGTAATAATATCTCTGTGGGTTAAGCACTTTTTTGTGTAATTGGATACTTTAATACCCTCCCATGCTGAAGGGCTTTTGGTTCAAGGAATTTAAGCCATTCTCCCTTCAGATCAAATCCAGTTGCCAACTATTCCCCAGGTGCTGTACGACTTCTAGGGGATTTAGTACTTTACCATAAATACAATACTAATTTTGGCTTGACTTGATGAAGGAAAAACAGCCGAGTAGCCTACTCCACAGGAGCATTCTTCTTATCAGTGTTGTGTGTAGGAGACTATGCTCTCCCACTTTCATATCAAACGCACACACTCGCTCATTGTTATCTCGTGGAGAAGCACCCAGTTCCACAGAATTGTCAAGATCCATTTTCAGTATGCCATATCCTAATAGACTGTCCTGTCTACCAGCAAGCATGCAGCATTTACCTTTGGTGTCGTCACTGCTCCAACATCCTTATTTTATCTGACCTCGCTGACAGGTCCATCTCTGACACACATCCCTCTGTGTCTTTTTGTCAGCAACAGCATTATTACACTGACTTTGATTATACTTCCCTTTAGCACTCCTCACTGCCCTTACTAACTCTACTTCTGGCATGCTCTTCACCCTCACTGGTCTCTGATCAGGCATATTACACCTTTAGCATACCTACCCTGCAGTGCTGTATGACCCTTGCAGGTTTAGCGCTTAGTTATGATTGATAATGGGGGAGGACTAAACCTGTAGGGGTCATGTAGCACCTGAGGGGAACAGAGGTATTCAAGAAACTGAAGCAGTGGTCTCAATTCCCGAGATCAAGAGCCCCTCAACAACATCAAGAGCCTCCATTAAGGGAAAGTCCTTGAAGTAGCAAAACTGCTTGAGCTATTGGTCTAAATATGCCCTGTTTGGCAGCTGCCAGTGCATTCATATTGACTGCTTTCAAGCAAACAAAAGCTCATGCAGTTTGTCATATGCCAGTTAAATATATTAGTCATACTTGCATCTGTACTCTAAAATGCCATTTCCTTTAAGTATGGAGGAAAGCAAAGAATTAGTGGGCAAGTTCTCTGATCCATCCTTGATAATTCCCGACACTGAATCAGCTAGCTCTACTGATGTAGCAGAAGCAGTGGGACAGCTTGCTAGAATCATCCTTGGGCTACATTTTTGTCCTCAGAGATGCCTTGATGTCAATCAAAGGTTGTTGATCCAGGCTCCACTCATTGTTTTAAGAGTAATATATGACAGGACATAGTGAATCTGGAAAGCAGCAGGTTAAGGAGTGGGACTCGGCTAAGATTTATTTATTTATTTATTTTGTCTTTGCAAACAGTACATTGAGATTTTGTATTTACAATAGTGGGTTGCAATGCAAAGAGAGCCTCTATTATGCCTAGGCATTATGGGCCAACTTAACATTATTGACTTACAGACTACTTAACACTAAGGATTATATCATAGTTGTACAGTAGGGTAGTAATTATTTCATAGTTGAACATATAGTCTAATCCAGTTGTCTCCCATTCTCCAGATTTTTTGCTCATTTTCCTTGTCGGTTTAGTGCTTTCACTCATTATAATAATATAATTTTGCTCCTCATAAGTGTAATAATGCACTTGTTTCCTATCTGACCTCAGTTCAAATTCTGATGGGAGTGTACTCCACTGGACTTGGCCTCATAATTATAAACCCTACGATGTTCCATTTATTCTCCTGACCTTACATAAGTATTGTTGAGATTTCAAGCTACAGCAACTGGTCATGACAATGTACACATTATCATGCTTCATATAATAGTGTCACATGAGATAGGAAGCCTATGCTTGCTGTGTAACACCTATGGATTTGTATTTTTTTCTGAATACAGTAAAGAATAATGATGAAAGATACACTCAAATTGTTTCTTGTTTTTTCCAGGCTGATTTTAAACTGTAGTACCTTTGAATAACATGTGCACTACTTTGTGGTGATCCTTTGTTAAAATAGGATGTAAAATCTAGTTCCAGCAAGCCAGTAGATGCTTAATTAACCACTTAACAGGTCATTATCTGACAAAATCATCACCACCACCACCTCAACACTCCTTTGTATGGCTTTTGGCAAGTAGATTGTACCATAGGTTTGTTACTCTAAAAGAGTAAGAGTTTGTCTGTTGTATTGTGGTTTGGAAGCTTGTACTGTGGCTAATTCCTTGTGTGTCATGTTAGACATTGTGATAATGTAGCCAGAGTTTAGTTAACAAGAATTTATCATTATTGTAACATATGCCTTTTAAGAACAGTCCTGTCATGTCTCTTTTTGAGAGCTGTCAGTCCTGTAATCTACAGCTATCTTTATGTGATGAGGCTAGTTCCAGGATGATCTTTTGTTGTACTGGGTTGACCATTGTTTTCCAGTGTTATAAGTGTGTCCTCTGGATGTGGTGTACATGCTTGGGTAGCCAGGATAGTTTAAAACAAGGCATTTATAAAGCTGAATAGCAGTTTTCTTATACACTACAGTTTAATACAAAGTATGTTTGACTTGTTGCAGAGGCTGTGGCATCTTTGTATGTATTCATATTTGTTGCATATAGTACTTTCAGTGAATGATTAATAATTACACTAATCTTTCATGAGGTAGCAAGGCAGTATTTTCAACACATATATTGTTCTGTGTATTGCTGTTTGTTCCACATGCAACTGCTTACATTGTGATAAATTTGTTTTATGTGGGCAAAAAGTATGTATGCCCATGGTTTGTCAAGCTTTGTTTAACCAAGCTAGAGGCTGTTCCATGCAGTGGACTCGTTTAGTTATTGGTGAGACCCAACAACATTTAATTTAGTTTCGAAGCGACAAATTGATGACAGTTGCCATGCTGCTGAGTACTACAATATCAACATTTTGACAAGGTGATCATTCCCACAAGTCATTAGTCTCTCATTAGGATTACTTCTTCCTCCTACCTTGTTTATAATGATGCCCTTCACAAAATTAACAACTTTGTGTGGTATATGTACTCTATATGGGGAAGACATAAAAGAAAAAGTGGAGAGATTAAGGATTTTTTAAAGAGATTAAAGGATTTTTAAAAGATTATTTCCATAAATTTATGCATTGTAGTGTACAGTACCTGAATAGGATACCAGGGCTGACTGCCTACTTTGGTCACCTTATTGTGTCAAGAACCTGTTTGTTAATATATATACAGTGGTTTTTTGCTTAATGAGGAGTTATTAGTTTAAAAATATGATCTGATCTGGTTCTGAGTTGTAGCTTGTATGTTTTTAAAGTTTTCAGCCATTGATAAACATCACTGCTTCAAATTGCTTCACCCGCGCAACGAATTAAATAATTGCATAGTTCTGTAAAAGAGTGGATAATTGCAAGAATTGTTTTTATAGGCAATATTTTTCTTTGCAGGGTGATCACTTTCCCTTCATTCTCCTGGGACATTGTAAGATCTGTCAACCAGCCTTATCCTGGAATCCTGGATGTAAGAATGTGATATATAATCCATTTGGCTAAATATATATATATACATATAAAAGGAGAGTTTAGGACATTGCCCTCTGCAAAGACAGAGATTTATGTATGAGTGATGGTGAAAGTGGTTGAAATGATAGGAAGAGTTTTTTTCTTACTTTTTTTTTTTATTTGGGTCACCCTCCTGGTGGAAGTGCCGAAGTGTTGAAAAAAAAATATATATTGAGTAAATTGAAGGAAAAAGTTGTATTATATAATTATTTTAAATGCATCTATCATAAGAATAAATCACCAGAGACTGTATTCCATACATTATCAATATTGGTATGAAACTGTATAATAAAAAAAATTAGCAATAGCAACATTCCACTTTTTAGTTTCATTATTGCCTATTTATAAATTTAATATTTCTCTTTCATAGCTCTTCATTGGAAACTTGCTACATCAACAGCATGTTTTGTCTCAGATAAAGCTGCCACCTATGCTACCCCTTCAAGGAGTTTCCGTCCCTTTGGCAGAAGTATCTCTGTGTTCCAAGGAAAGCTGGACCTCTGGAATTGAATCTAAATACTTGGACATTCCAACCTCCTTTTGGCCTTTTGCAAAAATCCACTTCTGACAGAAGGAAAAGTAATCAGAATCAGCCCGTTTTTAATGTAACTTCTGTTGTATTTTGGGATGGGTGTGTCACTTTACCTGATGGAAAATTGATCATCTATGGCGCATCAGGCGACCTCTGTTGAGACACTGTGACGCTACTGGATAGGGTTTTTGAAAGCAGAAGTTATTGAAGCTATCTTTAGATCCAGAAGTGGTAAATGAAGTGAATGACTGCTTGCATACTTTCCAAGTACGTACCTTGTGGAACAGAGCTTTCACTGTATCCTCCTCTGATTTTTAGCCTTTTTATTATTGCTCTTTAGTGTTTCCTATTAGGAGTTATTAGATCCATCTACCTACTTTTCCTGTTATTCCTTTATTACACAATCCGTGTGGCTAATACGCCATGAATCACACTTGTGGAGGTGGGGTTATATCTGTTGTTTTTAGTGACTGTGGATGACCCCCTGTTCCATGCCCTCTTGAATAGTTAATGCACATGAAAAGGAGTTTCTTGCAGTTTTTGAACACAGTAGTTCCTGGGGGCCTGCGAAAAGAGTGCATGGGGCATGTCATTTGTTGCTTTTTCAAAAGTCTGTGGTGTGAGGATATATTCAGAAATGATAGAATGGATAATATGAGAAACCTTCAAAACCAGGATGCCAAGCCAATGATGATTCACATTAATCTCAAAACTCAGGACCTGGAGATTTATACAGAAAATTTCACTACATGTATAAGTACCACAAAAGTACCTAAACTACTGGAAATGGTTGAGGTTCCTTGACCTGTACTCCTTGGAACACAGGCAAGAAAGATACACGATAATATACACTTGAAAAATCCTAGGGGGATTAGTCCAAAATCTGCACATAAAGATCACTCCCTAACAAGGCAAAAGACTTGGCAGGTAGTGCAACATCCTCCCAATGAAAAATAGGGTCGCCATGAGTACTCTAAAGACAACACAATAAGTCTTAGGGGCCCAAGACTGTTCAACTGCCTCCTATCATACATAAGGGGGATTACCAATAGACCCCTGGCTGTCTTCAAGAGGGAGCGGGACAAACCCCTCAAGTCAGTACCTGACAAGCCGGGCTATGGCTTGTACATCACTTTGCGTGCAGGCCCAGTAAAACAGCCTGGGTGATCAGGCCCTGGTCCACCCCGAGGCCTGGTCATGGATTAGGACACGGGGCACTGACCCTCGGGAAAAACCCTTCAGGTATACTCCAGGGAAAGATGGAAATATTGGGTGTTTCCTTACACCTGCTGTCCCATTCACCTTGCAAGCAAATAGGTACATGGGTGTTAGTCGACTGGTGTAGGTTGCATCCTGGGATAAAAGATTTAAGGACCCCATTGGAAATAAGACAGATAGTCCTTTGATTACGCACTGACTTTCTTGGGTTATCCTGGGTAGCTAACCCTCCGGGGTTAAAAATCCGAACAAACTCTTATCCTTCATCAAGTTCATTACCTCTGTAACTTGCTCAGCTATTAAAACTTTGGAGTCCAGTCCCTGGACCAACTATGTACCTCTGTAATCTTTTGACTACCGCCCACAGGATGGGTATGGGGTGCATAATAAACATATTAAACTAACTTCATCAAGTACATGATAATGATACAACCAATGGCATATTTTGGGTTATTGTCATGGTGTGCGCTGTGCATTATACAACTAGCTGTCGGGTGTGCAGTGCTATCTTAGAACACCTGCCCAATTTTCATAAGAAGGACAGAAAAAATTTTCCCAATATCATCCAAATTATTTTATTAACGTCTTAAATATTTACGAATTTAACCATCTTTGGGGGGTTGGCAGTACGCACCCCACAAAATATGCCCCGATTACAACTTAAACTGACCTAACTAATAGTGACTCCTTAAAAAAACACTCCGGGTTGCAAGCATTTCGACAACTATTTTAATTTTTACCTCAGGATGCGACCCACCCCACTGCCCACCAGGCACCTACTTACGCTGGGTTAACGGGGACAGCAGGGTTTTAAAGGAAACATGCCCTAATGTTTTCACCCAAAAAGGGGGAAATCGAACCCGGACTAAATGTTGATTAGGGGACACATCATCTTTTGGCAGTGACTCAAACAAGGGAGACCGGGATTTTCCCTAAAATTTTCCGGGGGGTCAACGCCCCCGGGCCCCCGGTCTGGACCAGCCCAATGGTGGATCGGGGCCTGATCAACCAGGCTGTTACTGCGGCTGCAGAAATCCAACGTGGGCCCCACAGCCCACTGGTCAGGTACCGACTTCGGGTCTTGTCCAGTGCCTCTTGAAGACAGCCAGGGGTCTATTGGGAACCCCCTTATTATGCCCGGAAAGGAAAATTGAACACTTGGGGCCCCCGACACTTATTGTATGGGGCTCTTAACTGCCCATAAACCCCGCTTTCATTGGGGGGGGGTGTTGCAAAACTCTGCCCAATCTTTCTTTCTAGTGGTGATTTTTTGTGTGCAAGTTCGGGACTAGTCCCCCTAGGATTTTCCAGGTGTATATAATCATGAATCTCTCCCGCCTGCGTTCCAGGGAATACAGTTTTAGGAACCTCAAGCGCTCCCAGTAATTGAGGTGTTTTATCTCCGTTATGCGCGCCGTGAAGGTTCTCTGTACATTTTCTAGGTCAGCAATTTCACCTGCCTTGAAAGGTGCTGTTAGTGTGCAGCAATATTCCAGCCTAGATAGAACAAGTGATCTGAAGAGTGTCATCAAGGGCTTGGCATCCCTAGTTTTGAAGGTTCTCATTATCCATCCTGTCATTTTTCTAGCAGATGCGATTGATACAATGTTATGGTCCTTGAAGGTGAGATCCTCCGACATGATCACTCCCAGGTGGGACTTTAAGAACAACAGGTCGCTATATTGTCCTTGCACACGAAAATCACTCCCTATGAAAGCAAAAGACTCGGCAGGAGATGCAACATTACACCGATGAAAAGCAGGGACGCCACGAGTACACTGAGAGACAACACAATAAGTGTCCGGGGCCCAAGACTGTTCAATTGCCTCCCAGCATACATAAAGGGGATTACCAATAGACCCCTGGCTGTCTTCAAGAAGGCACTGGACAGGCACCTAAAGCCAGTACCTGACCAACGGGCTGTGGTTCGTACGTCAGCTTGCGTGCGGCCAGCAGCAACAGCCTGGTTGATCAGACCCTGATCCACCATGAGGCCTGGTCTCAGATCGGGCCGCGGGGGCATTGACCCCCGGAACCCTCTCCAGGTATGCTCCTCTGTCATCTCATCTCCCCAACTCACACGTCTAGACCTTAAAAAATGTGACCATATATTCTTGAATATTGATCGGTAAAAGAATCTCAAGCCAGTAACACTGGCAGTAATTAATTTGTGGACTGTATAATTTTAAAAACTATGTGACGTAAGTCGAGTAAAGTCTTGAGCAAAAACTATACAAAACAGTGATTCAATTACATTGTGAGGAACATATGACTTACTTACCAAGGTATTATCTCCCTGCCGGCAGATAACTAATATTGGCCAATGCCTAGCTACCTGACTTGTTGTGGGAGACGTAAATTCACACCAAGCAAACATAAGTTATTGTAGTACAGGCGGTGGTCAACATCCCTACTTCCAGTATTATCTGAAGTAAGTAAGTAAGTTTATTCTGGTATACACCAATACAGTTACATAGAATTATCATACATAGCAGCATATGTGTTGAGAACCTAGGATAACCCAAAAAAGTCAGACAGAGTGACTTACTTCCAGTGGGGTCCTTCGTTGTCAGACTTATTATGACCAGTCTACAATGTATCTGAACCCTTCCAGATACATGTTATATTCACTCATTTTGTGGAAATGTTTTACCTAAATTTCCGGAAATCATAATGTATAATTTTTAAAATAATGTAAATAAGTATAAAAATGATGCTGATTTGACCTTTCGAAAAAATTCGTGTGTTGCGGGGAAGGGTGTTGCAGGAACTGCCGGAGGGAGGACGCGGTAAGGACAAATAGTGTAGACTGGTATGAATAACCGGCTAATTGAATTCATCGTCATAGGGGCTATATTGGAATAGAACGGCCTTAGATGACCAGAAAATAATGCGGTGACGCCCTACACCGCAGACTGTGAAGAAAATAATTGAAACCACTGTAATATAGTGGTGGAATTGGGAAATATGGAGGGACACCGGTGACTTCCTACAGCACGCCGTTGGGATACGTATGTAACCTTTGTTCAGTAGTCTTACGTTGGCCTTCGTATGTCTTGCTGGCTAGGTAGCATTAGGGTGTGTTCTACCGGTCGTCCAAATTGGTACGTTAATACCAAGAATTACGTATGTTCAAGTTAGGTGGTTATATGCTTGACATTAACTGCATTAGACACCCCCCTGCCTCTCAGCAAGTCAAACCCAATTGACGCAGTCCACACTAATTAATAGTACCAGAATTGCTGGTTATGGTTTCTTAAATGTAATGGTTAATTTTAGGTCCCGGCTGATATGAGTGTGGTTTGAGTGTTGTGGGTAGCGAAGGACACACTTTCCTTGCGACCGAGAGTGTTTTAAAAATCTCACTGATGTCAGAGGTACAACAAAAATTGATAAGTAATGTACCTTAGTTGTATCCTACCCAAATTGCTTGTATGAACGTAATAGTGAAGTTCATAGAGGCAATTTCTCACACATTTCATGGTCCCCAAGTTTTGCCGAGACACCCTCCTGGAGTTTACCTGGAGAGAGTTCCGGGGGTCAACGCCCCCGCGGCCCGGTCTGTGACCAGGCCTCCTGGTGGATCAGAGCCTGATCAACCAGGCTGTTGCTGCTGGCTGCACGCAAACCAACATACGAGCCACAGCCGGGCTGATCAGGAACTGACTTTAGGTGCTTGTCCAGTGCCAGCTTGAAGACTGCCAGGGGTCTGTTGGTAATCCCCCTTATGTGTGCTGGGAGGCAGTTGAACAGTCTCGGGCCCCTGACACTTACTGTATGGTCTCTTAACGTGCTAGTGACACCCCTGCTTTTCATTGGGGGGATGGTGCATCGTCTGCCAAGTCTTTTGCTTTCGTAGTGAGTGATTTTCGTGTGCAAGTTCGGTACTAGTCCCTCTAGGATTTTCCAGGTGTATATAATCATGTATCTCTCCCTCCTGCGTTCCAGGGAATACAGGTTTAGGAACCTCAAGCGCTCCCAGTAATTGAGGTGTTTTATCTCCGTTATGCGCGCCGTGAAAGTTCTCTGTACATTTTCTAGGTCGGCAATTTCACCTGCCTTGAAAGGTGCTGTTAGTGTGCAGCAATATTCCAGCCTAGATAGAACAAGTGACCTGAAGAGTGTCATCATCGGCCTCGATGACCTATCAAATTCTGCCACACGCCGGTTAATCTTTACTTTCCGCAATTTTTCGATGCCCTCGTAAAATTTTTGGTATACATGCATATATTTTTAATTAGGGGTATTTCCAGGTGTGCAACACATTTTCCTTATTGGAATATTGATTTCCTCTACATTACAACAGTTTTCCCTCAATCAATCCCTCAATCTCCAGGTAAACTCCAGGTTATAGTATATAAAGAAATTATAGGTAATAGAAGTTTTCATGTGACTTAATACTTTTCAAAAAGTTGCAGTAAATGTACACACTTACACAATTTCACATAAACATTATTATCCCCATCAATTCTTATGTACAAATTACAGGAAAGTTATCAAAATTTTCCACATGCACAAATTCAAATTCAAATTCAAAGTTTATTCTCTATAAAGATTACAATGTTGAATTTACAGAATTTGGTTGTTGTGTGGTTTACATGTAGTTAAATAATGATTACAGAGTGTACCACTAGAACGCCTAGCATGGCTAGGCATTTCGGGCAGACTTAGTTTAATTCTTTATTTTAAAATATTACAAATTATGAGGTAAGTTGGTATTATGGCTAAGTGACTAAATACTAGTTTGTGAGTTTAGCAATGTGAATGCTTTTGTTTTGGCACAGTACATAGTTTCAGTATTGGAGTATCATAGGATTCATTATTGTAAGATTGAGATTAATATTTCTGTTTATGGTCAAATGGCTGAGTGAGTGTAAGTGTGAACCACCAGGTGGTATTCGTGTAGTTAGTTGATGGGGTGTATCAGGGAGATAAGATGTTTTCTAATGGTAGTTTTGAAGGTGATGAATGTGTCTGCAGTTCTAGAGTTCTCAGGTAGGGTGTTCCAGATTTTAGGGTCTTTGACATACATTGAATTTTTGTAAAGGTTTAGTCGGACACGGGGAATGTCGTAGAGATGTTTGTGTCTGGTGTTATGCCTGTGGGTTCTGTCACAACTATCAAGAAAGCATTTTAGGTCAAGGTTGTTATTGGAGTTCAAGGTCCTGTAGATGTAGATTGCACAGTAGTAAGTGTGGATGTACTGAACAGGGAGTAAGTTTAGATCTATGAAGAGTGGGGGGGTGTGTTGCCAGGGATGGGATTTAGTGATTATTCTTAACTGCAGCTTTTTGTTGGGTTATTATTGGCTTTAGTGTGTTGCTGCAGTTGATCCCCAAGCACAAATAGCATAGGTGAGGTATGGATATATAAGTGAATGGTATAGTGTGATAAGGGCAGTTTGCGGCACGTAGTATCATATCTGGAGAGGATCCCAACCGTTTTGGATACTTTTTTGGTTATGTGTTGGATATGGTGCTGAAATTCAGGTTGTTGTCAAGGTATAGGCCTAGGAATTTGCCCTCATTATGTCTGGTAATTAGAGTGTTGTCGATCTTAATGTTAATTTGTGCATCTCCTGCTCTGCTACCAAACATAATATAGTAGGTTTTGTCAGTGTTAAGCGTAAGTTTATTGGCTGTCATCCAAGTCGATATTTTGATCAGCTCCTCGTTAACAATGGTGTTGAGGGTGGCAAGATTAGGGTGGGAGATGACATAAGTCGTGTCGTCAGCAAAGAGAATGGGTTTCAGGTGTTGGGATACGTTTGGAAGATCATTGATGTATATGAGGAAGAGCAGGGGACCAAGGACACTTCCCTGCGGAACTCCAGTATCAAGTGGCCGTGTTGTTGATGCTGTGTCTTTAATGGTGACATACTGATACCTATTAGTAAGGTAAGATTTGAATTAAGCAAGCGCATGGCCTCTTATACCGTAATGGTCAAGTTTGTGGAGTAGGATGTCGTGGTCTACTGTGTCAAAAGCTTTTCTTAGGTCAATAAAAGTTCCTAGTGGATATTCCTTATTTTCCAATGCTGTGTAAAGCAGATCTAGCATTTTTATGATTGCATCATTAGTGCTTTTATTTTTCCTGAATCCAAATTGGCAGGGTTTGAGTACTTTTTGTGTTGTTATAAATGAATATAGTCTCCTGTGCACGAGTTTCTCAAAGATTTTGGATAGCAATGGTAAGTTTGATATTGGCCTATAGTTGTTTAAGTCTGTAGGGTCACCACCTTTATGTATTGGTGTAACCCTTGCCATCTTGACTAGTTTCGGGAAGGTGCTAGTTTCTAGTGACTTGTTAAAAAGTAATGAAATAGCATGCGAAAGGATATGGACCGCTCGCTTGTACAGTAATGGTGGGACATTAGACTGATTCCCTGAGTTGTTTTTAAGTGACTTTATAATCTCGGTGACTTCCGAGGGCTCAGTTGGTGCAAGATAGAAGGAATTTGGGAAATTCCCATCTAGGTAGTCCCTGGCATGGGCATTGGTATGTGGGATTTTATTGGCGAGATTAGATCCTATGGTTGAGAAGAAGTCGTTTATCTTGTTAGCTGTGTCAGTGGGATGTAGTGGTGTTTCATTAGGTTTAGTTAGGACAATATTCTTGTTTTTTTTTCAGTTTGTGGGTCCCTAGAATCTGAGAGAGTGTTTTCCAGGTCTTTTTTATATCTCCTCAAGTGTCTGTGAATCTACTGGAGTAGTATAGTTGTTTGGCTTTCTTTATTAATTTGGTGAGAACTGATGAATAGTGTTTAAGAATATCTTTGTGTATTAAGCCCTGTCTATATTGCTTTTCATATTGGTGTTTCTTGTCAATGGATTTCAGAATGGTACTGGTTAGCCATGGGCAACCAAGCCGTTTGTTTGTGATCTGTTTCGTTTTTATAGGACAGTGTTTGTTGTATAGTCTAAGTAATTTGTTAAGAAAAATGTCTGTCCAGTCATCAATACCATTGGCCTTGGAGAATGTTCAATTAGCCAGGTTGTACTGACTGATGCCAGCTATTGGTCTTGCCTATTTTGAAAAGTGGTTCACTGTACTGCTTCCGATAGATGTTTTTGATCCTTACATTGTTAACCAAATAATCGTTGTATTTTAACGGAAATGTCAGGCTAGGTAAAAAAATGGAAATGAAATTGCAGCAGGCAATATGGCACTCCCATATTGCTTTCAGGCTGCAGATTTTATCAAGCTCTTATCTTACCTCCGCTTGAGCCAAGCAGAACTCTTTACAAGAACTCTGAGAAGCATACACTTGGATTTTATTGACGATTTCAACTTATTATGGTGAAATGTTAACCGAGGTTCATATTTGTTCTTCATGCTAGAAAGGTACATGTTGAAAGTGGAATTAATTATACATTAAGTAGCACTGCTACAGAAGTAAAAATGTGAAATAAGTGTCATCATTGTCATGTCTTCAACCTCAGGGTGGTCAGGAAATGAAATGAACTTGATAAAAAGGCAGTGAATGTAGACTTCATACATAGTTTTTAGAATGGGCATGACAGGTCTACGAGGCTAGGAAAAAAACTAACTATGGCAAGTTATACTTTTTGTATTAATCAAATCACATATTACTCGGGTAGATAACTTCCAGTAGATCCTTCATGTGTTAGCCCAAATCACCGACCAGTATGTTTTAAATAAGTGACCCACTGATCAAATCCGACTGGTTCCGAACCCTCGACTGGTCAGAAACCTCGACCGATTTCAAACGGTTTCGTTGGACAATAAAGCAGACTGTAAACGGATGGGGTTGTAGGCGCCCTTATAAACACAAACAATAAATAAAAAACAGGAGCGTACTCCGGTAAGCTGTCTTAACATACAAAGTACAGTTAGAAATAGAAATACAAATAGCTAGAGCTTCACTTTAAGGAGGTTATTAATAGAGTATTCAAGAGGTTGCTAGTAGAATTACAGTAATTCAACCATTCAAATCATTATGAAGCCCTGTGTAGTCTGCAATCAAACAAACGGGCTTCCACATGGATAA